GAAGATTTAAATAAAAAGAAAGTAGGAAAGTTTGAAAACTAGGAAAGAGTTCGAGGAAATCAAAGAAAAACTATGTTTTGAACTAATTTTATGTAAGATTTGAATAAGACAATCATTATGCTATGAACTTACATCTTTTATTTGTGATTCAGTAGCTTTAGAACTTAGTTTTGAAGGATTGAAGTTGTTGAATAAAAGAGAGAATTGAAAAGATTAAAATACTTGAATTAAATTATCTATTGCTTGTTGAATCCTTAAATTCATGTATAATACCAAGTTTTTATTACTTTTCCATTACATATATGATTATTGGGATGTTATAGATCAAGATTTGAGATTTGAAAGCTTGAAAATTGGATTTGGAAGTCCTAGAATAGCCTGGAGCAGAATAGGTTGTGAACTGCAGAAGTCTACTCTACAACTCACCACTCGAACGGACCACCCCAAAACCTGGCCGAGTTAGTTAACCGCTCAAGCTGTTGAAGGGTGGCTCGAGCGCATTTTTGCAAACCTGAACTTCTGGGGAGGTTCATTCACCGTTGGAGCGGTGAAGAGACTGCTTGAGCGGATTGGTCTCTCTTCGCACAATTTTTGCATTTTGTTCCATTTGATTTCCTTCTTTTCTTTGGTCATTTTCAGGTATGTTTTGACATCTAGAACCAAGATAACATAATTAGAAACCCACTTGAGACATGTTTGCATAGAAAAGAGGATTAAAGACTTATGGTATGATATGTTAATATAGGAAGTTAAGGATTGTTCAGATGTTTCAATGTTTTGTTCTTGTTCTGTATAGGTCAAGCGTGAGGAGGTTAAACCCTTATTCACGAAGCTCACTGTGAGTAGTAATTTAGTAACGCTATGTTTGACAAATTATGTTTTCAATGCCAACTTGATTATGTTTACAAGTTATTATGTTATACTATGAATGAACATTTTATACTTTTGTATCGTCTACCTAGATGGAATTCTTGGACCCGGACCCACAATTGGGAGTATATCCAATCATGTATTATGGCCGAGCACCCTTGTTTTCCTTGAATGTTCATCAATATGTATTTTGTCTACAAGTCAAGCTGTGCTCTGTCTTGTACAAGTATATATATAGATTGTTTCGAAAGAATGTTTGAAAAGCTCACAATGTTCATTCATTTACTGCCTTATTTTATTACTATTCATTGGGCAATAGCTCTTCCCTCTCCCTTATATGTATGAAGGCGAAGACGTAGACCAAGGACACAAAGGGGAGTCGCACTAGCACCTTTTTCTTTATTTTGTCTTTTGGAGAAGTTGTAGTTTTAGAACTAGAGTTTTACCTTTGTGGTTTGGTCTTTGTAAGAGTGACTTTTGTAGTTGTAACTTTTCCTGTGTGGACATGTAAATATCAAGTTAACTAAATAAAATGTATGCTACTTATGCACTTGTTTTGAATGGATATCAATTAATATAATGAACAGGTTCTTCTGTTTAAACCCCAAGATTATAGTCCAGTTTTGTCTTGTCTTGTCAGGCCTTTGGTCATCAAATCGGTTACTACCACTATCCTGGTTGGGGTGGGATGGGATTGTGACATAACCGCCGGTTGAGATGGGTCCGAGTGAGTTTGTATTCTCTTAAGTGAGAAGATTACAATACAGAAATAATGAGCCGAAACCATTAACCGTAAATGAGAATTGTCTCATAAAGTGGGCATCAATAAAAGTTGGACTTAAATTTGGACTTAGTCTTGGTTTGGACTGGGCCTAGGCTTGGGCATGTGTTGGGTTTGGTCTTGGACTTGAACTTAGTTTTGAGTTTGGGTTGAGTTGTGCTGTATTGGACTTAGCTTGTACATGTGTTTGAGATTGGACTTGGATCTAATTGTGACCCATCATCTGTATTCGTTTTGCGACCCATCTGGTTGAATTATTCAAATATCATTATATACAAATTTATTTGTATATATTAAGCGCATGGAAGGTTTAGACTATTGTAACTCTCATATTTTGATGATAGAGTTAATGACCATATTAGTGGCCGTAAGTTTTTAACCTTTGTAACTCTAACTCTAAAGTTGACGGCTTTAGTTAAAGGCATTTTGATGGCCCTCGTGATGATAGCCTTCGTGGCTAAGGACTCTCTTAGCTGTATAAATAGAAGTCTTTCCCCTCCAACTTAATAAGATGTTTTTAGAGAAGTTTTCTTTTTCTTTTTTCTTTTTTTTTTATTATGGAGAATGGTGATTTTTTAGATGAAGTCAGAGATGTTTCTTACATCAAAGAAAAACTCAAAGAAATTTTCCTATCTCTTTTTTGTTAGTCCATTCTTTGGTTCTTGTTAATGAGAGAGTGTTGTCATTGTCAAATTCGCTAAAGCTATTTAGAAGATGTTTCTGCATTAACTAATTTCGACCATCGTATCCTAAGAAACAAATGCCGGTATTCCTCTACCACCCATTGGCTAAGTAGTGAATCTGTTTTAAGAAAAATGTATATACCACAGGTTTCGATGTACATCCCTTATCTTTTGTTATTTAAACTTTTATTTAATATATTTCTTGTATATTATTTTTGTATGTCCATGTGAATCCATCTTGTAATATGTTCTAATGTAGTAATCTATTTTTCCAGTCTTGTGTTTTCTTTAAGAATTAAAAATAAGATCAGTTTATCTTTACTATTTGATTTTATAAAATTTAGTTTTCTCACGGTTCTGAAAAGCAGTTGCGGTCGCTATAATGGTAGCGGTAGCGCGGTTGCGGTTGTGGGGTGTATAGGCAGTAGTGTAACGGTTGCTGTAACCGGAACTGTAAATTTTTTTATTTTTCGCACAATTTGAAAAAAAACTTATCGATATGCATATTTTTTTTCCATGATCATATTTATTGGGTTTAAAATAAATATTGATCAATTTTTGTAAATTTTTAAGTATTATCCAATATATTTCATATTTTTAAATTACTATAAACTGAGTTTTTTACATTTTATTTTAATAATTAATGACTTTATATTATACAAAAAATCAATCACTAACCATTATATATAAGATAAACAATGACAAAAGTAAGAAAATAAATAAGAGCCTAAATATATATATATATATATGTTAACCAAGCCAAATAGATAATGACCACACTTACTAGTACTATTATTATTATTATTATTATTATTATTATTCTTTTCAAACAATATATAGATAGGCACACAAACAAAATGGTTGAGTGATAGCAGCTGAATAGAATAGCATAGGTCTTACAACTTCAACGAATCAATAACATGTTTTTCATCTTTCCTCTTCTCTCTCTCTCTCTATCTCTTGCTCCGCCATTTTCTCTCTTTATCTTCCCTCTTCTCTCTATCCCTCTTCGCCTATTTTCAACTCTTTTTTTTTGTGTGTTTTTTTCAAAAGAAACAGTTTGGAACCGTTACGTAACGGTGCGCAATAGGCCGTTACGACTGTTATGGCACTGTTACGACCGCTACGGCTGACACACCTATAAATCTCAATCACACTGCAAAAGCGGCCGTAACGGGTGGCGGTAACCCCCAAAACCGTTACGTAATGGCGTTACGTAATGGTTGCGGCCGCTTTTTAAAACCTTGAGTTTTTAATTATCGGGAAAAGTATCAATATTTTAGTCATTAATCTCAATGTATATACATAAAATGAGGGAAAAATAACATTTTAGTCATTAACCACAGTGTAGGTATATATGAAGTCTAAAATAATATTTTCCATTATGATTACAATACTATTTTTTTTTATCAATTTTAATTAATAAAAATAGGCGAATAATTTAGATTGACAACAAATCAAAAGTTTAAGGTCAAAATTGAGAAAATTAAAAATTTATTATTTATTTTATTCCAAGACCTAAATTCTAATTTTTTTTTATTTATTTATAAATAATTGTACCTTTTAATTTTGTCCGTGTAGATTGGTTTCCTATTAATTAAGAACGCATAGAAACGTGCAACAAATTTTTGCCATTTTTCTATTTCTTTGTTGCTTAGGAGAAAACACAACCAAAGCAAAAGGTATACAAAAATAGTGTAAAGCAGTAGGGAGAACAGAAATTTTTATAGAAGGTATACAAAAATAGTGTAAAGCAGTAGGGAGAACAGAAATTTTTATAGATAGCGTCACTCCATAAGCTTAATTTTTATAAATTTTATAAGAAAATATCACTCTTTTTGATTTTGAGTTCTTAAAAACTGCTTAAGTTTTTTTTGTTTTTTATTTTTAGTTGTCCTTAATTTTTTTATATTTTAGTTAATTTTTTTTAGATGCACTTAAAAAATAAAGTAAAATATTTGTGAATTTATTTAAAAAATTTCAATAAGTACCAAAAAAATTGAAAAGGTATTGAATTTTTATAATTTTTTGTATTTAGTGAATTTTTACAAATATTTTACATTTAAATGTATTTAGATTAAGTGAATTTAAAAAAAATTTGCTTTAGAATTTTAAAAAGTTTAATAAAAATAAAAAATATGAAAAATTAAAATTATTAACCAAACAGAGTGAATTTACAGTGGATCTTTAATAAGCGAGAATTGCTATTTAATGGGATCCCTTAGTTTTTTAATGACATTAAACTATACTAACTAAAATATTGATAATATAAATACATCGTTTATGAAGAATTTTGATAGCTTGATGGGCCATGGAACCTATCATCTCCCATGTGGAGTCGCCCGGTATAAGGTTTTATTTGTTGAATGACACAGGTGCAAATTTTTACACTTCTTTTATTTTCAAACACTGTGTTTGGAATATAATCAAGTGAAAAACATTTGTTTGGTTTAAAATTTTTAAAAATAGTTTTCGAAAATTTTAATTCGTATTTTTTTTTAGTATTTTTTTTAACATTTAAATTTTTTTTTATAAATTTTGTAGATATATATTTAAAAAGTATAAAAATTTATTGAATATAAAAAAAATACGAAAATATATTGAATTTTTATATTTTTTTGTATTCAATGAATTTAAAAAAATTATATAATTTTTATACTTTTTAAGTGTATTTTAAATGGATCTAAAAATTAAAAAATGATTAAAATATTTAAAAAGAAATTAAAAAATATATTTTATTCATATTTTTATTTTGTCTTTTTAAATTCTTATTCAAATGGTCAGTACCAACTTACCGTTTTCTATCTCCAACACAAAAATATATGATTGTTTTGAGGAAAATTGCTTTCTCACATCTGTGCTACTACAAACTGGTGTCGACAGAGTGGACACACATATCTAACCAACCAAAAATCATAAACACAACATTCAACAACAACAATAAATTATGAAGTACGGAAAATTGAGCACCCATAAAAAATGCAACGACACTGTATAAAATTATACACCAAGTGTATAATATATACACCTCACTATATATTGAGATATATTATGATAATAATAAATAAAATAAAATAGGAGAGAGAAGCTAATCCGAGCATTTATATGTATGCATGTTAATTTTCTAAAATGAATCAAACATTATACAAGCATATATTTAAGTTGTGTTTGGATTATAAATTTAAGTAGGAGTTTTAAGAAAAAAAATTAAAAAATGAGATAAATGTGAATGAAATATAAGTTAAAATTTTTCTTTATTTCTCTTTTTATTTTCAAATCTCTATCTAAATTCATAATTTAAATACATAATTCAAATATAGAGTTTGAGAAAATTACAAGAGATAAAGGAAATGAGAAGTACCTGGAAGCAAATTAACTTGAAACAGAGAGAGAGAGAGAGAGGTGTACTTGCAAGGAAGGGAAGGGAGGAAGCCTGCTTGACAAATAGTAGAAGAGAATAACCAAGTGAGCTTCCAACCAAAGAGAAAAGAATGAAAATAAGGTGAGACTCAAATTAAGGGACTGTTTGGCAATTAAGGATTTTAGTTCAAAGATCAAAAAAAATATTTAAAAAATTAAAAATATGAATTCATATAAAAAAACGTTAAATAATCTTTTTTATTTACTTTACATTTTATATATTCTTATTAATTTTAATTTTTTTTATTTATAAATAATTAAATCTTACAATGTAAATAATTTAAATCCACACAATATCAACAGGCACAACAACTTTAAAGTTTAAAGCACAATTGTATTCTTTTGTCCTTAGGTGGGTGGGTGGGTGAGTGGGTCCTTTTTTCAGTATTTTTCTCAACCCCACATGGCAGGCACAACAACTTTAAAGCACAGCTGTGTTGTGGGCGGGACTTTTTTTTAGCATTTTTCTCACCACTATCTTTCTCCTTTCCCTGTTCTCGTTGAACCACTGACCATTACATCTATACTAAGGGTAAGTTTGGGAAGATCCAAAAAAGTCAAAAAATTACTCAAAAAGTTAAAAAGTTAATACTATTCACCAAAAGTCAACAATTACGGCTGCACAACTCTCAATTCAAATTTTTCCCTACAAATCAATTTTTCCCTACGAATCAATTTTTTCATTTTTTTATTACACATTTTTCAATAAAAAGTCAAAAAGTTAACCCAAACATCCATATTTTCAACCTCAATTTTTTAGTCCAAAAAGACAAAAAGTGCACTTTTTTAGTCTTCCCAAACTTGGCCTAATTATATATATTAAGAAAAAAAAAAGATTTTTCATGAGAATGAATATGAGAATTAAGTTTTCAAACTAATTTTTTTTTAATAATTTAAAATGTAAACAGAAAATTTATTGATAAGTTAATTAAACTAAAAAAATAAAAATAAAAAGTTCTAATTATTTATGATTTCAAATTTTAAAATTCAAACCAACATGGGAAATCATTCTTATCCTTACATATTAATTTCCTAAAATGAATCAAACATTATACAAACATATATTTAAGTTATGTTTGGATTATAAATTTAAGTAGAAATTTTAAAAAAAATTAAAAATGAGATAAATGTGAATAAAATATAAATTAATTTTTTCTTTATTTCTCTTTTTATTTTTAAATCTTTATCTAAATTCATAATTCAAATAGAGTTTGAGAAAATTAAAAGAGATAAATTATGGAAAACGAGAAGTACCTAGAAGCAAATTAACTCTAAACAGAGAGAGAGAGAGAGAGAGAGAGGAGGGAGGAAGCCTGCAGAAGAGAATAACCAAGTGAGCCTCCAACCACAGAGAAAAGAGTGAAAATAAGGTGAGACTCAAATTAAGGGGTTTTTCTGGCAATTGAGGATTTTAGTTAAAGATTAAAAAATTATTTAAAAAATTAAAAAAATAAATTCATATAAAAAATTAAAAATTATTTTTTATTCACTTTACATTTTATATATTCTTATTAATTTTAGTTTTTTTTATTATTTATTTATTTTTTTGTAAATAATCAAATCTGACGATATAAATATTTAAATCGATGCAACATCAACACAGGCCCAATAACTTTGGCCCCGTTTGGTAAAGTTGTCGGAAAATGATTATAACTTATAATTTAATAGTTTATACCTTATAACTGTGAACATAAGTTGAATTTTAACTTACAAATTAAGCTTCTTCTTCCTCACTCAAAGAATAAGTTGATTTTTGATTTATAAAAAATTATAAACTATATTATTAAACTGAACCAAACACATTAAAATAATTTTAATTAAATTAAAAATTAAAATAAACTCTATTAAATAGGGCCTTTAAAGCACAATTGTATTCTCTTGTCCGTATATGAATAACTTAAAGCACAGCTGTATTCTCTTGTCCATGAGTGGGTGGGCCCTTTTTTAGCATTGTTTGAGGAGTCCGGATCCTCTGCCGTGTTTGTCTGCGGCGCTTCCTGCGGTGTTACCAAAACGACGTCGTTTTGGTATTTATTTTTTTATTTTTATTTTTTTTTGCCTTGCCTTGCCTTTCCTTTCCTTTCCTCCTTTATTGTTTGCTCTGAAAGGTCTCAAATGTTTGTTTGAGAGACCACAACAGAGAGGTGAAGAGGAGACAGGTGATCGGACGGAGGTGAAACAACATCAGTCGGCGAGTCGGCAAACCTTTGGGTTTGATTTCTTGGGTTTTCTGTTCAAAAAAAAAATTTCTTGAGTTGAAGAAAGTTGTGAGCAAGAAAACTTAGGGCTTGCTTTGAAGGGTATGAATCTTTGAAACTTGCAAACGAGATTGAGAGAAGAAAAAATTCCCACTGTGTGGTTTTCTTTGAGGATATCTCTGGCACATTGAAGCAAGAGGCACATTGAAAAGCCCCCAAGTTGTAGTCCAAGATCTATAGGAAGCAGTGAGTTCCTCAACAAAATAACCCATGAAGTGATTTTGAGCAATTCAAGGTGTGAGCTCAAAATTACTGGTTTTGGGGGAGGTGGTGGTGGTTTGGGTTTGATTTCTTCTTGGGTTTGATTTCTCATATGTTTGATTTCTTGGGTTTTCTGTTAAAAAAAAAAAAGATTTCTTGGGTTTGATTTTTTGTGTATGATTTCTCATGTGTTCCTTTTATTAATTTTCTCAATGGGTCTGATCTTGACTCATCCGGTAAGATTTCCAATATTATATTGCGAGTGATGGGAATTACTTCACCAGAAAAATATGATAATATGTTTTCCGGCTATTGCAGAAGGGAATTACTTCACCAGAAAAATAAGAAATGGTTTGGTGATGATTTTTTTTTTTTTTCAAGTTCATACCCACTTCCCCAAAGTTGAGTTGAGTTGAGTTGGAAAGGAATTCTACATTTTCTCGGAAAGCAAACAAATTTGGGCCCACTAGTGAAGCTTGAACTCCAAAACGCCTAGTGAAGCAAAGAAATTTCGTCCCTGTTCTTGCTCTGTTCTTGGTCTGTTAGGTGGGTTAGGGCCAAGAGAAGAAACCAAGGGAAAGGGACAGAAAAGAAAGCAAGAGGAAAGGGCCGAAAAAAAAAAAACCAAAATCAAAATCAAAACGACGCCGTTTTGATAGCGCCGCAGGAAGCACCGCAGACAAACACGGCAGAGGATCCGGACTCACCCCGAGTCCACATATGACAGGCACATCAACTTTAAACAGTTTTTTTTTTTTATTTTGAGAATTGACCAATTTTTAAAATTATTTAAGAAACATTACAAGAAAATATATCTTTAATTATTAAAAAATTAATTGCCATAGCCTCATTTTCAGTCGTCGAAAACCAATGACAACTAAAAATTTTAGTCGCCTAGTTAGTCAGGATTACCTTGTCGGCGATAATATTAGCAACTAAAATTTTTTTAATCGCTAATTTACAACTTTAGCTACTAAAAATTTATTTATCGCCAAAGATAACCTTTTGGCAACCAAAATTTTCAAACAGTGTTTGGAATATAATCAACCTTTCAATGTGAAAAACATCTGTTTGGTTTAAAATTTTTAAAAATAGTTTTTGAAAAATTTAATTCGTATTTTTTATTGTTTTTAGTAATTTTTTAATATTTAAATTTTTTTATAAATTTTTTAGATCCACTTAATCTAAATAAATTTAAAAAGTACAAAGATTTGTAAAAAATTTATTGAATATAAAAAAAATACGAAAATATATTGAATTTTTATATTTTTTTTGTATTAAATGAATTTTTAAAAAAATTATATAACTTTTATACTTTATAAGTGTATTTTAAATGGATCTAAAAATTAAAAAAAATGATTAAAATAGTTAAAAATAAATATAAAATAATAAAATAATTTATATTTTATTCATATTTTTTTAACATTTTTATTTTGCCTCTCTAAATTCTTATTCAAATTATCAGTACCAACTTGCCGTTTTCTATCTCTAAAACAAAAATATATGATTGTTTTCAAGAAAATTACTTTTTCGTATCTGTGCTATTACAAATTGGTGTCTACAGAGTAGACACACATATCTAACCAACTAAAAATTAAAAACACAACATTCAACAACAACAAAGACAAATTATGAAGTACGCAAAAATTGAGCATCCATAAAAAATGCAGCGACACTCTATAAAACTATAAACCTGCATGTATAATATATACACCTCACTATATAGTACGATATATTATGTCAATAATAAATAAAATAAAATAGAAGAGATAAGCTAATTCAAAGCAGGAAAACTTATGCATTTATATGCATGTATATTAATTTCCTAAAATGAATCAAACATTATACAAATATATATTTAAATTGTGTTTGGATAATAAATTTAGGTAAGGATTTAGAAGAAAAAAAAATTAAAATGAGACAAATGTGAATAAAATATAAGTTAAATTTTCTTTATTTCTCTTTTTATTTTCAAATCTCTCTTTAAATTCATAATTCTAATACAGAGGTTGAGGAATTTACAAGAGATAAATTAAGGAAAACGAGAATAACCTGGAAGCAAATTAACTTGAAACACACAAAGAGAGAGAGAGAGAGAGAGAGGGCGAGGACTTGAAAGGAAGGGAAGGGAGGAAGCCTGCTTGACAGTAGAAGAGAATAATGAAGTGAGCTTCCAACCACAGAGAAAATAGTGAAGACTTGTAACGAAGGAAGGGAGGAAGTTTACTTGACAAATAAGAGAATAATTCATATAAAAAAGTGTAAAATTCTTTTTTATTCACTTTACATTTTGTATATTTTTTTTTTGTAAAAATTAAAAAAATTCTTTTCAAATATATTAATTTTTTTCACTTTATATTTTAATAAAAAGTAATTTTTCAAATGGCTTCAAAAATTGAAGAATTTGTTTGATTTAATTTTAAAATTATAATTTAAATGTGAAATTATAATTTAAATATAAAGTTATGAGTTGAGTTTTGAAAAGAGTTTCACTTTTGCATTTTCTTTTCATTTGGTCTTCTAGAGATAATGAGCCCGTTTGGTAACAAAATAAGAAAATTGTGACTTCTTAAAGGTTGAAATATTGCCTTTTTTTAATTTTTTTATTTATTGAGAAAATAATATTAAAAAAATAAAGAAGTAATGTTATATGTTTTAGAGGTAGCTTATTGTTTTTGTCTTTTTTTTTAATTTATTTTGTACGGATTACAAAAGACATGTGAAAAAATAGATAAGTGACCTAACTTAAATAAGGCCTAATTTGGAAAGATCAAATAAGTATATTTTTTGATTTTTTTTGTATTATGTGTAGAAAAAGTAGAGAGTAGATGTTGATTGATGTGACCCAAAAAAGATAAAAAGATGAAATAAGTGCACTTTTTTCTTTGTAGCCAAACTTGGCCTTCAATAAACTAAAAATAGATAAGTGATCAAGTTTGGCATGATTGAAAAAAAGATAAAAAGTCAAAAAGTCACTATTCTATTTAAGTCACATCATCTTATTTAAGTCACATCACCTCTCTAACACATCACTTCAAACCCAACCCAAACTCAACCAATATTTCATAAAAAGTCAAAAAGTACACTTATTTAGTCTTCCCAACTAGGCCTTAAATAAGTCAATAAACTATTTTAAGGCTTGGTTTGGGAAGTGGGTTGGCTTTTTAGCTTTTTGGCTTTTTTGACTATTTTAGCCTAGGCTTAAAAGCTTGGTTTGGGAAGAGTTTTTTGGCTTTTTTACTTTTTTGAGTTTTTTTGTGAGAGAAGAATGTAATGATTATGGGTTCGATATGATATTTTGTTTGTTATGGTTAAAATAGCCTATTTTGTTTTTTGTGGCTAAAATAGCCAAAAAAGCCTGCAAACCCACTTGCCAAACACAGGCTAAGTCATGTTGCCCAAAAGGGAGCTAATAAGCTGCTTATTCAGGCGTGGTTTGGGAAATGAGTTTTTTTTTTTTTTTTTTTTTGGGTGGGTGTGAGAAATGAGTTCATTAAGCTTATATCACATATATATAGGATTAAAGCTAATTAATCTAACTTAAGCCTAATTAATCCAAATCAATTCTAATTGATTTATTCTAATTATGTTGATTTTGATTTGTTTTCATGTGGGATGTTTACAAACAAATGAAAACAAATGTTAATTGCATTTGTTTAACCACATGATTATAAACATCTCACTACACAAAATTATGTACTATAAAATATGATTTTAAAAGCAACCTTTTTTTGTATAAACCCTTAGCAAAACATCCCTCTCTAACTTTGTGTACTATGAGAGGTTCAAGATTTTTTTTTTACTACCTAAGGTCCTTTAACATTTTCACAGAAAAAATTCGACTCAGAGAAATTTTATTCGATTTAGAGAAATTTCACTTGACTTAGAGAAATTTTGGTCCCAACTCAAATTCGATTTAGAGAAATTTCACTTGACTTAGAGAAATTTTGGTCCCAACTCAAATTGTTTTTGAAATTTCTCTATGATCAGAAAAATTTCTCTGAGTCGAAGCGAAATTTCTCTAAGTCGAGCAAAATTTCTTTATAGAAATATTAAGAAATCTTAACTACTATGAAAATATTATATATTATTTATTTTATAAAATCTTAATATCAAGGATCTTGAAAAAATTTCAAAAAAAAAAAAGCATTTTTAAAATTAGGAACTTTAGACCATCTCCAACGGTGAACCAAACTTGGCATCAAATTTAAAATTTGGTGAAAAAGCCACTTTGATCAAAAAAAAAAAAATCATACTAACACCTCTGAGATATAGTCTAATTACATCACATTTCTTAATATTTTGAAAATTACATTTTCACCTCTATGATAATTAATAGTCTCATTTCACGAATACTCCTTATATGAAAGACAACAGCTCCCATTAGAAAAATATAAGAAATTATATTGAAAAAAAAAATAGTAAAGTAAAGAAAAGGAAAAAAAAAAAAAAAGAAGTAGTAAAGCAAAGTAAAAAAAGATAGAGTACATGAGTTCAATGTTTTCATTCCGTTTAAATAATTACAATGGCATAAAAGTTAGTATAATTTTCTAAACGTCAAAAATAATATGTATTAAACCCAAACCTCAGAGGTATAAGTGTAATTTATCTTAAATTATTTATATGATACGATTTGTTTTTCTTTTTTTTTTTTTTGGCCCAATAAGATTCAAATCATTTATGAAACGAAACAAAATTAATTGAATATTTGTAATTATATAATAATATCATATTAATTTTAAAAAATAACAAGTATAAATTTAATAATAATTTTTTTAATTTAAATTATATAATTATTAATATTTATTTAATTTAATTTTTATTATGAATACTCTATTTTTTTGACAATGAGGGAACATCAAAATGAATTTGATCTCGACCCGATGATGGGTGTACAGTATATAGCAGCCTGAGGCATGAGCAATTATTTATTGTTCCAAAGACATTGACCCCGTAACGTCATAAACTAATTCAAGACATTTATTTATTTGAAACCTATATAAATTAATGATTTAAATTGATTTATGATAATATCACATGAGAAGTGAAATAATTTTAGATAAATAACTACTCAGTGTGTGGTTGAAAAAAAAAATCAAATTCATTGTAAAATTTACAAATTTTAATTATTAAAATTATAAATTTTTCCATAATTATGTAATTATTTTTTAAAACTAAATTTGAATTGTAATTTTTTCAATAATTTTTCTAAGGCATAGGATCATTCCCATTTGGAGAAACTGCAAATTAGTTGAAAGATAAAAATACAATTGCAAAATCATAAAAAAAAAAGTTATCATTTTAATTATTAAAATTGATAATCTTTACTGTTAATTTGCAATTATTTTTTAGACCCTCGACTGAATTGCAATTTCCCCTCCCCGTTTCGTGGAAATCAAGAGGCAGATAGTCAATAATGGCGTGCTGTGATGAGACAGATGAGTCAAGAATGGCATGTTCTTGGAAGGCATATGATATGATCTTATCAGTATTTCATTAGCATTTCTCACTTTTAAGGCTTTATTTGGAATGTAAGTTCATTTTTTGGTTTTTAATTTTTTTGATTATTTTAATTTGAAATTAAAAAATTTTGTTTGGGATAAGTGTTTTTAGTTTTTTTAACTTTTATGAGAAAAAAAATAAAATCCATACTATATATATATATATATATCAATCTATCTATCTATCTGTATAATCAGATGTAGTTGTTAAGTAAAAGACTCCAAAACTTAAATACTAAATTCTTATAATTTTGAAAAAAAATAAATATTACGTGGCACTTCCCTTTATATCCCTTTCCACTCTTCAAGCCTTCTCACTCTCTCTTCCTATATAAAATATAAAATAATAAAATATTGATCCATATCCATCACCCACAATATGTTTATCTCAAAATAATAAAATATTCATCCATATCTATCAGCCACAATAATATTTATCCCACTCTCAGTCTCAATTTAAAAATGAAAAAAAATAAAAAATAAAAAGAAACCAAATGCAGTTGTTAAGTCAACAGGTTCCAAAACTTGAATCTTAAATTCTCATAATTTTGAAGAAAAACAAATATTACGTGGCACTTCCCTTCATAACCATTCCCACTCTTCAAGCCTTCTCATTCTCTTTTCCTATATAAAATATAAAATAATAAAATATTGATCCATATCCATCACCTATCTCAAAATAATAGAATATTCATCCAAATCTATCAGCTACAATAATATCCATCCCGCTCTCAATCTCAATTTAAAAATGGAAAAAAAAAAAAAAAGACATATACTAGTAATGACTCCTACAACTTCAACATACACATTCTCTATTTAGGGGTTGTTTGGGGTGTCCCAAATAAGTGCACTTTTTGTCTTTTTGGACTAAAAAATTGAGGAAAAAAATATGGATGTTTGAGTTAACTTTTTGACTTTTTATGAAAAAATGTGTATTAAAAAATTGTATAAATTAGTGTGTAGGAAAAAATTTGAATTGGGAGTTGTGCAGCCGTAATTTTTTTATTTTTGATGAATAGTGATAACTTTTTGACTTTTTAACTTTTTTTCAACTTGCCAAACTTGGCCTTAGTTTATTCTAGTCAAATTCAATTATTCCCTCATCTACCCATCTTTTATTTTCTCAGAATAACTCATCTTCTCCATTGTTACATTTTGTAAGTTTGATGATCTGGAAAAATCATTACAAGATCGGTGTAATATTATTTTTTATTTTATATGTATTTTTTTAGTGTTTGTTACTTTGTGAGTATATATTTCTTTTCTCAATATTTTTCAATTCATCTACACATCTTTTCATCTTTTTTATTTTTATGCTCCTAATATTATTTATTACTTTATATCATTTTTTCAGTGTTTATTACTTTTGTGTGTATATATTTCTTTTTGCTAATATTTTTCAGTTTATCTACATATCTTTTCATCTTCTCCATTATTACGTTCAATCATTCTCTCATCTACCTATCTTTCCTCAAAGTAACCCATCCTCTCCATTGTTATATTTTGCAAGTTTGATGATCTGTGAAAATCATTACAAGGTCAGTGTAATATTATTTCTTACTTTATATGCATTTTTTCAGTATTTGTTACTTTGTGTACATATATTTTTTTTCTAATATTTTTTAGTTCATCTATAAATCTTTTCATTTTCTCCATTTTTATACTCTTAATATTATTTCTTACTTTATATGTATTTTTTCAGTATCTATTACTTTTGTGT